ATCGGCGGAAACGGCGTGGATTGTGTTTCACGTCGGCACGGACGCGGAAGCATTGGGGCAAGGCCACTGCATCGTCGAACGTTGTTTTGGGCAGTGTGTCGGCGCTTCGCGTCACCGGTATGCATCTTCGGGCGGAGACGAGCAGGATCGCGAGGTGCGCAGCTTCGTACCGCAGGAGATGTGTCCGGAAGGGAGCTCCGTGATCCTTCCGGAGTTGGGCGCTCTTGGAGGGGCGGATGGAGTGCTTCGACCGGAAGCGGCGGAGCTGGAGTTCCTGCGACTTTTCGGCCCACTGAAGCTTCAGAACCAGACGCTTCAGTCTCTTCGCACAGAGTGCGTTGAAGCTGCACACCGAGCAGTTGCCAAAGTCTGCCTGCAGCCTTACGGCTGCGATGAGTGGAGCAAGTATTCGCTTCCGCGATGTGACGTGATTTTAGGACTCCCCTACGATTTCGGAGATTCTAATTTTGCGTTGGCACCAGCATGCGTGCTTTCTGGCCAGTACTACTGCCCCGTAGGGCTTCCATTGGCTTTGAAAGTGACGTTGAAAGCAGCTAGCCGATCAGCAGCCATTTGGGCAATGATGCTGGAAGGCCTAATGCCCGCCGTGGTGTCCGCACGCCGGACGTTGTCGGTCGCACTCAGCTCGAAGGGCAACATCCGATCTTTCCTTCGGGAGTGGATCGAGCAGGAAGAGATACGTCTGGGCTGCTCGCCGGAGCTTCAGTTCTTCTCCATTTCCAGGTGGGATGGGCCCAAGAAATTGCATCAGATCGAGCAGCAAGCAGTAACATGAGAGCTCCTGTGTGCTCATGCTCACCTGCACAATTTCCTCCATGCTCTCTCCCCAAAGATCCCAATGCCTTGAAGCAATTTTGGGCCCCAAGACCACAATAGCTTTCGATCAGATGCCCTTCCTTCTGCCTGCAGAGGTCGGTGGCAAAGATGGAGGAGCAGGCTCGGATAGGCCTTCCTATGGCGCTCTGTCCGACCTGTTGTCGAACGGCGGCTGGCCGACTGCGCGTGGTGTTTGTGCGGGACCCGTTGGCAAGGATGTCAAGCTTCTTTCATGGGTATTTTCTGAAGCACAAGGAGCGCTTGCTGCCTCAAAGCGATCCGCACTTGTTTGAGACCTGGATTCGTTTGATCCTGAGTCCGAACGCTTCAGCATCTCCCCTTTTCGAAGCAAGCGACTTGCATCACGTCCGGCCAGCATTGGACAGGTCGCCGGCAGATGACCCGGAGCAGGTAGTCTTCTGCATTGAGGAGGTTGAGAAGTCGCTGCGTCGCGTAGAAAGCGCTTTGTGTACCAGATTCGGCCACTGCACCCCCTTGCCGAGCTTTCCTGCTGTGAAGCGGCAGACGAAGCGAGAGCCAAAGATAGGAGTTGAGGTGGCCAGTCTCGTTCGTGAACGGTATCGCTACGACTACGAAGCTCTGACATCTTGCTGAAAACGTTCGCTGCATTCGCTCAGACTGTCAGGACTGCCGGAAGAAGTGACAAGCTTGTGCACGATCTGGTCGCTTGTGATGAAGCCTTCTTTTGGATCCACAGAGCCAGGACCGTGTAAGTCCCTCAGCCGTCCCCAACAAGCCCTTGAACACAGCCTGAAGCCTACATCCTAAGGTCCCAGGTCCCCAAAGGCTCCTTCTGGATCGAACCACTAACACACAGGCAGTTAGTCAAACCCAAGCCCGGGACCGCTCGCTTTGCCATGGACAGTGAAGAGATCCGATGGGCTTCGAGGCATGGCTTGCGCACAAGGGCACTTGAGTACTGACCATAGATTTCTGAGTAAATTTGGGCCTAAGCCTAAACCCTAAACCCTAAACCCTAAACCCTAAACCCTAAACCCTGAAACACACAAATGAGAAGTCTGACACCCGGCAAGACCAACGATCCCTGTCTGCAGACAGGAGGATGATCTCCTGGACACAGAGATCGAGGCCCTGCGGGTAGGAACTGCAGCAGTTGCAGTAGTAGTAGTAGTAGTAGTAGTAGTAGTAGTAGTAGCAGTAGTAGTAGTAGTAGTAGTAGTAGTCGTAATGGCGGTGGTGCTGGAAGAAGTAGAGGAAGTAGTAGTACGTGGTGCTTGTCCGGTGGTAGTGGCGGCGGCGGTGGTGGTGATAAGCATGTCAAGATTCATAGCAGCGCTGCCCCTTGAAGGTTAGGCAGATTTGCGCGTTAATTTACATTGCACAGCCACAAGTACTGCACAGCATCTGAGCAGGTTGGAAGGTTAAACATACTGTATGTAGACACGACGTTGGCAAAACACTTGCGAGAATACTAGGAGTGCCATTCACAACATGACACCTTGCGCTCGGGCGTGCGCAGCTGTTGGAGCTCGAGCCTAACTTCCGCAACTGGAGTGCATTGCCTCCCGTTCTGAGCCTGGAAAGCTATCCTTTGAAGCCTTTTTGCCCGGGCCTTGGACAGACTCTTCAAGGGGATAGTCACCATGAAACGGAGGGTGGCGATGACGACTAACGGACACTGTCGTGGAGAATGATTGTGGGTGGTCTTGGCAATGGTGATGAGCATTGATGATATTACTTATCACCATCGCAGCCACTGCATCATCTGCATCAACCAGGAACCACGATCATCACCATAGCCATCGTCGCGACCTGATCCTGCCAATCACCATCACCTTCGTCATCGTCAGCAACACCCCACCTTAATCGTCATTATCCCCGTTATCAGCATGATCATGATCCTTATTCTCCGCATCCTGAAGAGATGCTGGTAAGTACTGCGGCTTTAGGGAACATTCATCACCTGATCAGCCGAGATTTCTATCGTGTCGGCAAATTGCATGTTGCTGAACAAGCTGACACTCTTGGATCTGGATTGCCGGCGTACTTTGCCCCAGCCTCTGCTATGAGATGTTATGAGCACAGCTTGAAGCTGATGGCAGCAACAGGCTCCAATTTTGCAGCCCCAGCAACATCTGAAGTCGAACATAAGCAGTCATGCTGTCGATGCACAAAATACCTTGCGCTCGGGCATGCGCAGCTGTTGGAGCTCGAGCCTAACTTCCGCAACTGGCGTGCATTGCCTCCCGTTCTGAGCCTGGAGAGCTATCCTTCGAAGCCTTTTTGCCCGGGCCTTGGACAGACTCTTCACGGGGACGGGGACAGTCTCCATGGCGGTACTGACCACCACCACCACCGACGCCGCCACTCGCCACCACCACCACAACCGCCACCACAGCCACAGCCACCACCTCTATCGTCATCGTCTTCAGGAACGCCAGCACACTCACCATCAGCATGATCTTCCTGTTCGTCATTCGCATTGTCAGGATCATCATTGCCAGCACACTCGTCATCACCATCATCAACATCATCACGATCATCATCATCATCACCATCACCATCACCTTCACCATCATCGTCATCGTCACCATCACCATCATCATCATCATCATCATCATCCTCATCCTCATGATCATCATCATCACCATCACCATCATCATCATCATCATCATCATCATCCTCGTTCTCGTCCTCGTCCTCATCCTCATCCTCTCCATCACCTTCATCATCATCGTCATCGTCACCATCATCATCATCGTCATCATCATCACCACCATCATCATCATCACAATTAGCTTCGTCTTTGTCATCCTCATCCTTAACACTACCATCATCATCGTCATCACGTCTGACCCAAATCATTTGCTCCAGCATCAGGCAGCCATGGTGTGTACAAATGCTATGCAGGCAAAGCGAGACACCGACGGGTCAGAGTTTCAATGTCTAAGCCTCACGTCAGAAACGCGTGCCCCCCAAACATGTAACTTCTCAACAGCCTCTGAAGCCCCAAAAAACCCTAAACCCTAAACCCTAAACTTAAACCCTAAGCCCCAAAAAACACCAGCATGTCTACAAGGCAAGCATGGCTGAGAAGAAAGTCGACCCAGCGACCGGCGAGGCGTACACGCTGAAGGCCATCCTGCCGTCCATGTTTCTCGAAGTTGCGCAGATGGGGTTTAGGGTTTAGGGTTTAGGGTTTAGGGAGCATCCTCTACTCAAAACCTTCAGTTTCAAGCCGTAGAGCTTCAAGCTACAGATCTGGAGTGCTTAGAGCCTTAGGGCTTTTGGATATCAGGCTTCCAGACTTGGAGACTGATTTGCTTCAGCTGACGCATGGTTCTAGCTCAACTTGCCATTGTCGTGCTTGCTTTGCACCTGCCCATGATGACCCTCCGATCATCCCAAATTTGCCGGTGTTGCGATGCAAAGACCAGTGCTGATTCTGTTCCTTATGGTTCCTCGTTTTACTTCTAGTGTACGATATCCCAACACCCTAACCGTTAAGGCCGGAGCTTGGAACCCCGGCCACGGGGGTGTGTCTGTAGGCATCATGGGCAAAGGCTCAGTCCACATGTGACATGCGATTGAATGGACACTATTTCCTTCGACCGTATTTGTTACCTGGACTGCTACCAATCTTTTTCTTCTGAGTGTCGCCACTAGGTTGTCGCCATCGTATGACTGTCATTCTTCCTGCTAGACTGTTGCTATCTGTTGCTGCTGGTATTACTATTTCTAGTCTTACTCTTATGACCGCTGTCATGATGGTAGCTTTTTCTTCCCTGCCCAAGGAGCTTATGGCGCACTACAAGGGGACCCGCCGTCTTCTGTTTGTGGCTTTCGGGGGATTCGCAGTCAAGGCTTCAGCTTTTCCGGCTTTCACGGTTACCGAGTCTCAGAGTGGTTTTGCGTGCAGGGACCCGGGTTTGGGGCTCAGGACACCTATGCTAAAGCAACACACCTCTTGACTGAGATTCGCATTCTACGGACCCCTACGCGAGTTTGGGGAGTTCTGGATGTTGTGTATTTCAGGATTTTGGGGGTTGTTTGGGTCAATGCCCCAGGGTCCCTTAGTCATTCCTTCACGCGGTCCTAGACCTTCTGGGTAGCCCTCTGCGCCCACGTCAGGACTTACAAGAAGAAGGAGTTGGAGGTCCGTGCAGCCATGCGGATAGACA